CTTTCTTTCTTTCTTTCTTTCTTTCTTTCTTTCTTTCTTTCTTTCTTTCTTTCTTTCTTTCTTTCTTTCTTTCTTTCTTTCCTTCCTTCCTTCCTTCCTTCCTTCCTTCCTTCCTTCCTTCCTTCCTTCCTTCCTTCCTTTCTTCCTTTCTTTCTTTCCTTGTGAAGATATGGTCATTGCCCTCTACCAGCCATCTGGCACTTCCTCTTTTCTCCAAGATTTTTTAAACCTTATAACAGTTGAATAAAGGTCCAGCAAGGCCATCTGTTCCTGAGGATGTAGTTAATTTAACCCCGAGGAATTAAACTTATACCAAGTGAATAGTTGTTGCCTGGCCTTGTTCTTATCAGCCACTTCATTCTGCCTAGTAGAATTCAATCTTCTCTTGCTGGAGAAGTTTTGAGATAAAATTGAAGATGAATAGCTTGGACTTTTCTTTGTTAAAGGCATTTTTGTATTTTGTTTTCCCTCCATTTTGAAAATGTGCTGCATTCTTTTTAGTATCATTATTGGTTTTATATAACTTTCATTGCATGATGCATTACACAGGCCTCATTCATTTAGTGACTGCTCAAAATTACAACAGCACTGGAAAAAGTGACTTAACGATCAATTCTTGCACTTACACTTACACAGCATCCCCATGATCAAAATTCAGGAGATTGACAACCAGCATGTAATTACATTGGTTGCAACATCCTGGCATCATTTGATTGCTGTTTACAACTTTCCCAACCAGATTCCGACAAGCAAAATCAATGGGGGAAGCAGAATTCACTTAACGATTGTTTAACAATCACATATGAAGAACGGTTACAGGACTGGGCATGGCTAGTCTAGTGAAAAGAAGGACCAGGGGAGACATGATAGCAGTCTTCCAAGAGAGGAAGGGGTCAAGCTATTTCTAAAGCGCCTGTAGGCCAGACCAGGAATAATGGATGGAAACTGAACAAGGAGAAATTTAACCTGGAAATAAGGAGAAACTTTCTGACAGTGAGAACAATCAACGAATGGAACAGCTTGCCCTTGGAACTTGAGGGAGCGCCATCACTTGAGACTTTCAAGAAGAGATTGGACTCCCATCTGTCAGAAATGGTGTAGGGTCTCCTGCTTGGGCAGGGAGTTGGACTAGATGACCTACAAGGTCCCTTCCAACTCTGAATATCTATTATCCTGTTACTTAACTCTACCACCACCTTGCTTAGTAATGAAAATTTTGGTTCCAGTTGTGGGTTCTAAGTCTTATTAATATTGTTATTATTTTATTAACATACATTATGTAAAATTATTCTGTATTTTATGTTTGTCTGCACATTGTTCCAAGTGATTTTTGTATATTACTAAAAGTTCCACAAATCCTTAAATATAAGTGTCACTTAAATTACACATCCGAGCAATATCTGTGTACTCAGTTGAATAATTTCTGTTCACTTTGGATCCATTTTATGGAAGAGTATCTACAGAATGTAATTGCTCTTTATAAAAATTTCCTTAATGTTCTTTTTTTGGAAAAAATTCTGCTTATTTCTTGCTCTACTCTATTGATGTCCTGGAGAAAATCCATCTATAGTACATGGTTGCTAAAATTGACACTGACTAGATGGCCCATAATCAATAAGTGAATGAATCAATCACTATATTTTGGGTTTTTCTCCATGGGTACAAAATGCACGTTAAGCATTCATCATCTACATATCAACAAGCACCCTGACTCCTTAGGCTGTGTTACTATTTTAATAGTATCTATTATACTAATCAAGAATTTATTTGGACTCCATTGTATGTATAAATAATATTTTTGTTATAGAAAATTCAGTTCAAAAACAATATAGAATTTCCAACATTCCCTTCAGTTTTAGGTGTTTTATCCCTAATAACTCACTTTAGAGAATTTTGTTCCATCAAGCTGGACAAGGTAAATATAGAGTGCAAGGTGAGAGGTGTTTCATGCAAATAGATAGCATAATTTCTTATTAAATATTCTATATTTTTTCTCACTAATTTTTAGATGAAAAGGCATTGACTATAATCTTAAAGTCTTCTCAGCAATGACCGTGTCATTCTTGCCTTTTGCCTTTTAATTAATGTTCTTGTTAATAACAGTGTTGAAATGCCTGTGTTGCATAAGAAACATTGTTGTTTTGTTCCTGATGACTAATACAAATTAGTGTGGGTTTTTTCTTCCAGTGTTTCAAGGCAGTTGCCCTGTACACCTAACTTCTGTTTCTTTTAGGCATTTTTCTTCCATGAACTCATTTCAATTTGAATGTGATAGCTATTACTCCTAAACAGCAGAAGTAATATTCTGAAGTTTACACATTAGCTTGCTTTCTGTCTTACAGAGATGGGATGCCTAAAATATGTTCACTTTAAATATTGGTTATTCATTTCACACTTGTCAGTGCAGAATGTAGCTATATCATATCATAATTATGTTCATGTGTTGATAAGCAATTAATATTTATGTATTATGCTGACTCTGTAAACCGCTTAGAGAGGCCGTAAAGCACTGTGAAGCAGTATATACAGGGGTAGGATTTCTACTGGTTTGGTCCACCTCTGTAGAACTGGTAGCTCTGAAGAGCAGCAGACATAGAACTGGTTCTGTGTCTGCTGCTGTTTTGGCTCACCCGCCCGCCCGGGCTCTTACCTGACCTTTATTTCCTGGTTTTTCAACCTCAGCTGCTTTGTGCGGCACAGCTGCGGTTGAAAAAGCAGAAAAAAGTGCTTTTTCAACCACTGCGCACCTGTGCGCAGCGCTGCTCAGCTGTCCAGGCAGCAAGCTGATGACGATTCACACGCGTGCGCAAATCATAAATCACTGAACCGGTAGTTACACCGGTCGGATCCCACCCCATGGTATATAACTCTAAGTACTATTGCTATTATCCCAGACATTGCAACTGTGATTCCCAAACATTGCATTTGTGATTTTCCAGGTCTCTGAAATCATGCCACTGAGGTTTGGCAGCTAAATGGCTGGTTTTCTTCTAGAAACCTAACACTCACTTAGATTAAGTTTGTTAAGTATGGAGAATAACGGAGACCAGACATCTGACCAGTGACTTCAACTCTTTAATAAAGTAATAGAACATAACAGAGCAACGCTATGGGCAGCAGTAACCCTTTTATAGGGTTAGCTGCTGCCTTATTAACCAATGACAATGTGCAACAAGTTCAAACTACTAACCAATAAGAAAAGTCCCAAAAGTGGCCAATCAGGGACTAGTTCTGGCCCAATCCCAAGTTGTTGTATAAGGACCAATCAAGTGTGCAGGTTTTCAACCCCTAATTTGCATTTAGGTTATTCACTTTTATTGATTCACAACAAAGTTTAATTGGGGGCATCTATAATCTGTGTTTGTCTTGAGAAAAACTTGTACAGAAATGCACACTAAAGATCACAAAGACATAAATACTATAAACAAATTCACAAATGTATCATGCAAATGAAAATCATGCTGTCATCAGGGACCAAATATGATCTGCGGTTGGGTAATGCATTTTAGTGCAGACTGCAGACAAGAGTGCAAAGTGCAGAGAAGTGCATTTTCGTTCAGATAGTGCAGAGAAGAACAACGAAGATGATTACGGGACTGGAGGCTAAAACATCTGCAGAATGGTTGCTGGAATTGGGTATGTTCTGTTTAATGAAAAGAAGGACTAGGGGTGATATTGATGGCAGTGTTACAATATCTAAGGGGCTGTCACAAAGAAGGGGGAATCAATCTATTCTCCAAAGCACTTGAAATAGGACAAGAAACAATGGATGGAAATTAGTCAAGGAGAGAACCAACCGAGAACTAAAGAGAAATAGCCTGACAGTTAGATCAATTAATCAATGGAGTGGCTTATCTCCAGAAGTTATAGGAGGTTTTTAAGAAGAGGTTGGATAACCATTTGTCTGAAATGTTATAGCATTTCCTGCTTGAGCAAAGGGTTGGACTAGAAGACCTCCAAGGCCCCTTCTAACTCTGTTATTCTGTGAATCTGTTGTTTTTATTCTAACTTACTACATAACACAGATCAAATAGATTCAAACCAATCTACTATATTGAGCCAGCATGAGAGGACAGCTTTTGTTTAACTTAACATAAGATATGCAGATAACTAGCACATCAGTGAATTCAGCTTTGATCACTAGTGTTCAGAAGCTAGTTTCAACTCAACTAATTTAAAGCAAGTTCTCACCTAGTGTTTTATATTCAGATATGGAATAGACTTTTTTGTATTAGACAGCACATATAGTATTTAGATGTTGCATGTATATGTAGCATGTGCCTCAGATGCAGGATCTGATTCTCTAAATGTTAGTCATTTCTAGATGATAAGAGATAAGATGGGTGGGGTAGGAATCAGGGAACCACATATAGCAATAGTATTTAGACCAGAGGTGGGTATTCAGCAGGTTCTGACCAGTTCTGGAGAATTGGTAGTGGAGATTTTGAGTAGTTCGGAGAACCAGGAAATACCACCTCTGACTGGCCCCGCTCCCATCTATTCTCTGCCATCTGATTGGCTGGGTCTTCTTTAGTTGCCCTGCACAGGAAAATGGTGCTGGAAATCAGGTTAGTGGGTTGGGAAAGGAACGGGGATTTTGCAATAACCTTCCCCCAGGAGTGGGGAGGGAATGGAGATTTTACAGTATCCTTCCCCTGCCACGCCCACCAAGCCATGCCATGGCCACCAAGCCACACCCAAAGAACCGGTAGTAAAAAAAATTGAATCTCACCACTGATTTAGACTGATATACCTCTCCAAAGTGCTTTACAGCCCTCTCTGAGTTCACATTTTACCAACCATGGAAGGATGGATGAGTCAACCTCGAGCCAGTCAGGATCAAACTCCTGGCTATAGGCAGCATTAGCCTGCAGTACTGCATTCTAACCACTGCACCACCAGACTCACATGCACAATTGAAACACTGCCTTTTTTTTTTTTTTACACATGTGTCATACAGCTGTACTTGAACAATCATATTTGTAGGAGAGGGACTGGCAGAGGCAAGAGGCAGAGTTAAAAAAGGGGATCAGCCTAAAATCCCTACATAGCCACAGATGGACTAAGTCGACACCCCCCCCCCCCCCCCCGAATTTGGTTGGCTCTCATCTAACTCCAAGCAGGTGCTGATCATTAGTTGAGAAGATCCCTGTGCATAGGATTTTTAGCAATAAATCAATTTAATAGGACTTTCATGTAACAATGGACTTCATCTAACAATGTTACTTTTAATGAATGGAATGCTTAAAGCAGCAGTACTTTTCTTTCAGAGCTGTTCAAAAGCCTGAAAAATATCAGGTGGCTTTAACGAATGTCATATATGTTCGGTACTCACACTTGTACGTGGTTCCAAGTAATTCTTCTGCATAATTTTTGAAGCATGCACAACTTCTTGGAGTATGACATTTCTTTAGGATGCAAAACTTTAAGTCAAGAAATAGAACTTCTGTTGACTGACATAGGCAGACAACTTGTGTAGAAGTATGCAAGAGGAGTCCAGTATTTCTGATGTAACGTTTGCTCAACCTGTTTTATTGTTCTCTGCACTTTCTGTGTTTGCAGTCTGTGGCAAGCGCTATAAGAATCGACCAGGACTGAGCTATCACTATGCTCACACTCACCTTGCTAGCGAGGAAGGGGATGATGCTCAGGAACAGGAGACATGTTCACCACCTGTCCACAGAAATGAAAATCATAAACGTGAGTAGGATATATGTGACTCTTATATTTTAGAATGTAAAGCTCCAGTCCCTATTATACCCTCCCACTGCTGCATCCATCTTTGCATTACAGTTATGGCTGTGCTTACTTTGCTACTCTGTGAATTGTTAGGACCAGGCTTTTTAATGGAACTAATCATCTGCAGCTTTTCCAGATGCTGAGCTCAGCTAATCCAAAATTTATTTATTTATTTATTTATTTATTTGATTTTCCAATTGTTTACAAGATAATAAGTATAAGTGTATACATAGTTGTGAATACATGAAATGGGTACATATAAGAAAAATAAAAGAATAAGAGAAACAATAGGACAGGGACGGTAGGCACGTTGGTGCGCTTATGCACGCCCCCTACAGACCTCTTAGGAAAGGGGTGAGGTCAATAGTAGACAGTCTAAGGTTAAAGTTTTTGGGGTTTGGGGAAGAAACTACAGAGTCGGGTAGAGTATTCCAGACATTGACCACTCTATTGCTGAAGTCATATTTCCTGCAATCAAGTTTGGTGTGGTTAACTTTGAGTTTGTATCTATTGTGTGCTCTTGTGTTGTTATGGTTGAAGCTGAAGTATTCATTGACAGGTAGGACATTGCAATGTATGATTTTATATACCATGTTTAAGTCAGACCGAAGACGGCGTAATTCAAGGTTTTCTAGTTCTAGAATTTCAAGTCTGGTGGCATAAGGTATTCTACTATTAGATACGTAATGTGGGTTCCAGACTGATGAACTGTATTCGAGTATTGGTCTAGCAAATGTTTTGCATGCTCTGGTTAGTAGTGTGATATTACCAGAGAAAAAGCTACGTAGGATTAGGTTAACAACTCTTAATGCCTTTTTGGCTATGTAGTTGCAGTGGGCTCTAGCACTTAGATCATTAGAGGTGAGTATTCCAAGGTCCTTTACAGAGCTTGGGTCATCAACAAGATCTTGACTATTCAGCTTGTATTTTATTTTCTGATTTTTTTTGCCAATATGTAAGACAGAGCATTTATTTGTTGAGATTTGAAGTTGCCATTTGTTTGACCATTCTGATACATAGTCAAGATCTTTTTGTAGGGTAGCAGTATTGTCTGTGGTATTGAACAGCTTTACATCATCAGCGAAAAGAACGCAATTGCTCTTAATATGATCACAGAGGTCATTTATGTAGAGTATGAAGAGAGTTGGTCCTAGAACACTGCCTTGGGGGACACCACTATTGACAGGTACTGGATTTGATAGGACGCTCCCGATTTTGACCATTTGTTGTCTGTTTGACAGGAATGCTTCTATCCAGTTATTCAGTTGTCCAGAGATACCATAGGATTTTATTTTTAGGAGTAGTTTGTCGTGTACCACTGAATCAAAGGCTTTACAGAAGTCTATGTAGATTGCGTCTATTGCTTTGCCCTGGTCGAGTTGTGTCGTCCATATGTTTTTGCAGTGTAAGAGTTGCAGATTACAGGATAGTTTTTTTCTGAAACCAAATTGTTTATTGGAGAGTAGGTTATTTGTCTCTAAGTGGAGGATGATGGATTGGTTAATAATTGATTCCATGACTTTACAGGTGACGCAGCATAAGGAGATTGGCCTGTAATTTTCAACTAGGCTTGGCTCTCCCTTTTTGAAGATGGGGATGACTGTGGCTTGTGACCATAGGTTAGGCAAGGAGCTGGTCCTGAAAGATTTTTCAAAGATTATGCTTAGAGGTTTGGCTATGGCAGTGGATAGCTTTTTTAAGAAGTAGGCACATATTCCATCAGGTCCAATAGATAGGGATGGTTTTAGATTGCGTAGTGCTTTTTCAACATTGTCTTCTGTGAAATCGATATGTATTAGATCATTGTTGTTATCTGTGGTACGGCTAGGAAATACTGGGCATGATCCATTGCTGTTTACAAATACTGAGCCGAAGAATGTGTTAAAGATGTTGGCTTTAATGGTGTCGTCGTTGCAGTCTTTACCATCTGGTCCTATCATGGGAGGGATGGACCTTGAGTCTTTTAGTTTGTTGTTTACAAAATTGTAAAAAGCACGGGTGGAATTGGTGCTTAGAAGGTTTTCCTCTTGTTTAATGTGATAATTGATGCATTCGGTCTTTATCTGGTGGCATAAATTTTTGTATCGGTTTTTGAAATTGGCAACGTGACCAGATTTGTTTTTCCGCCAGAGTGATCTCTTTTTGGATTGAAGTTTCCTTATTGTTATGGGTAATTTGCTTTTTTGTTTTGTTTTGGGAGTTGTTGTTGGTACATATAGTTTGATGACTCTTTTGACTTCAAGTAAAAATATGTTGTAATGGTCTTCAACAGTATTGCATCCAGTGAATAGAGATTGCCAATCAAGGGATGAGAGATCGTTGTCTATAAGATCATAGTTGCCTTTTTTGAAGTTACAATTGGGGATTACATCATTGTGGTGATTTTTGTGTGGACGTATGTTGAGACAAAAGTCAATCATATTGTGGTCACTACTGGAAAAGGGTTCTTTAGTTTGTATTCCGTAAATTAAATTCAAACTATTGCAGAAGATGAGATCGAGGCAGTTGTTTAGTCTAGTGTTGTTGGTTACTAGTTGTTCCAGTCCCAGATTTGTAATAGCATTGTAGAAGGTTGTGTGTATGATTTCAGTTGTACAATCATTTAGGGTCCAGTCAATATGAGGTAGATTGAAATCACCAAGAAAGATAAGAGGGTATGGGCAGGATGCAGCCCATGTTAGTAATGTATTTAGCTTGTTTACATGTTCGATGTCATAATCAGGTGCTCTGTAACATAGTAAGAATCGAATTGTGATATTTAAGGATAGTTCACAGATGATGGTCTCAGGAAGAGCAAGCTCCTGGGTAACTTGGATATTTTTTAGATGTAAGGATTTTTTATAGAAGATAGCAACACCACCTCCTCGACGATTTTCACGATCTGATCGGTAAACATGATAGTCTCTTACTGTGGTAATGGAGTCGGGGAGAGATGCATTGAGCCATGTTTCACAGACAAATATAATGTCGAAGTTAGCCATATTTAGTAAGATGAGAAATTCAGGTATTTTATTCACGAGGCTTCTTGCATTGAGTAGTTTGCATTTAAGGCCGGCAGTAGTTGGAATTGAGGTAGTTGGGGGCGTGCGTGCCTAGTCTTGGGTGATGGTGGATCGGTTGAGGTAGGGTTGTGGTTGAGGGTAAAAGCTGAGTATTGGGTTGCGTGGCTTACTTTTGATACAGTCAGCATGGTAGTCAATGTACAGGTCCTTCTCTCCATTGTCTAGACGGTTTTTGAGTTCAATGCGGAGTACATGGGAGCGGGCACGTTGCTGTATGGTTAGGTCAGGGCGACAACGGAGGTTCTTATGGTTGGTGTTGGTTTTGGCGAGTGAGTTTATAGTATAAATGAATTTACGTTTGCTTGATTCATTTTTGCAAATGACTCTGCACAGGCGTGGGGCCACAGAGCCGTCACTGTTATTGAGCTCTCAGATCTCCCATTAGCTTAGCAGCGGGTCGCTTTCCATCACTGTTCCTCTGGGATGAACATGTGGAGAAGACACAAGACAAACAGTTTTCTAGTGGTTCATTTTGAGAACAACTTATATGTTCCCTTTTCATTTCTTTTTCCTTCTTGTCACTGGACAAAATTCCCAAGCTTTGTAAAGTTCCCTATTAAGGGATCAAATAAGAGACAAAGATCTTGGTTAAAGAAAAAGATTTACTGTTGGCCTTAGGTCCAACAATATTTTTTTGCTCCCGAAGCATTTGAACATTATCAAAAATGTATTGAGGTTCTATTTGCCTCATTTTTTTTTATGACAGAAGGTTGGATGTTGGATTGAAAAGTTAACCCTTTATAAATTTTTATAGAACATTGCACCTTTCTAAGAGAGTAAATGGCTGTAGGAGCACGTTGCTTCTCTATAATGTATTTTATAATATGAATGTGTTATTGGAAGTAAAATAAAATTGGTGGTATGATGTAACTCTCTATTGATAAGAAGAAATGGGGAAATGTTGAGTTGCATACCTGTCAAAGCAACCTAAATAATAATGGTTTTTTATCAGATGAAAGTATAGCTTTAGACAGGCTTTTAGTCTTTTTTTAGAAGTATAATTCTAAATTAGTATAAACTGCTATTTTGTTATATTTGGTGGTATAATATAAGGTGCTTCTTTTATTTTTTTATTTTTAATAAGTAAATACAAAAACTATAAAAGAAGAGAGGAAATCTGGAAAAAAATAATGTATAACAATACATATCAATAACTTGAAGCCATGATTCATTATAGTCATCTATGGTTTTCTATATTAATCAATTCTATAAACCACAGAATAGTTGGAGGCTTATATTTATCTTTCTAATGCTGAACTATTCAACTTTTTATTGTAAATCTATTTTCTTTGTCTGGAAATCAACTCCCATGTGATCGAGATAAAATGTAAACTTATGAAAATATTAAATCTCATTGAATTAAGAATTTTTTTTTGATAATCTGAAGCATATGTGATATTTCTTTTAAAATATAATAGATACAGTATAAAAACTGAATAATACAGTATAAAACTGAAAATATATGCAAGGAAAATCCCTAATTATTCTGTGAATCAATTAGCTAATTTATTAATGCCAATGCAATGGCTAACAATAATTTTCTATGAATTATTTTACATATTTCATAAAAATATATTGTCAATTTTCCTTGTTTTGAAAAAAACATTCCACAATATAATTTCATACGTTTTTAGAACTATCATCCCACAAGATTACCAATAACAAAAAATAGAAGAAGCAGTGGGTAGCCATCTACATTCATTGTGTTTATTTATATTGTTTTATATGTTACTGCCAAGGGTCGGATTAAAATGGCTGTTATAAAAATATTTCTAATAAAATAATTACATCAATAAATAAACAGCCCCAAGTCATCAAGTATCTTAAGTCAATTACTCAATCTTCAGTTGTTCACCAACCATAACTCAGCATGGAGAAAGTTTCAAATTAAATCCACTT